GCCCAGTCTGTCCACAATTGTAGCATCGGACAGCACTCAATGCTACTCCATGCTCTCCAGTAGCATCCGCAGTGGGGAAACTAGAACTCTGTTCTTCCCTCCCCCTGTCCTTCACTTCCAGTGCAGCAAGTCTGTCGTGTTCGTTCAGGACCACAGCACACACTCTTTCCGCGGTTAGCTGCGCGGCCGATAGGGAACCAAGCTGACTGGCAACAACCTTGTAGGTGCGATTAAGGCTGTTTATCATCATGAAGCAAAACACTTCCTCCTGAAGACGGAAATTGCGTTCCACCATCTGTTGACGCAGAAACTTCATTTCTGTCAGGTGCGCTTGAACATCTCCATCAGGCGCAAGTCTCAGATTGGTCAATTTCTCAAAATACAGCAATGCTGAAGAACCAGCATCTCTCTGATGCGTTGTACGCAGCGTGTCCCAAACCTCTTTCGCGTGTTCTAAATTCTGGATATGCACCAACTGCTGATCTGAGACACACAGAATTATAGCAGTCCTGGCCCTCACGTTCCGTGACTCCCAACCTCTGGTTGGTGCTGCAGGGATGGGGTTTTCAATTACATCAAAAAGCCTCTGATTCTGCAGCAGGGCCTTCATCTTAACAGACCAAGATGAATAATTGTCATTATTTAAGGGAGGTGGGTAAGGCAAACCTCCTGCCTTCTTGGCATCCATCTTGAAGCCAAGCCTCCAGCTCACACTGTCAAACAAGCTGTAAAATCCAACAGTTGTTTTTTCCTTTCTCACTCAGGCAGGCAAACTTCAAGCTGTTTATGCTTTTAGCACCTGGCAGCTTGACGCTAACTGCTATGGAAAGTCCCTTCCAAGAGCTTCGTAAACGTGTAGCCAAAACAATCTCTGGTTTTGTTTCGCTTTCCCAGGCTCACACTCACAGTCCAGCCCCTTTTGCCAGTAACTTTCCAACTTTCCGTTACTTAGCAACAATGCATTTCAATAGGACTTCTTATCTTAACCACAAGAATTTGTGGAATGCAGGCTTCAGCCTCTGAGCTGCAGCCCTTTCCTTCCGGAGCTTTTGTTTTTCCAAAACGCAGCTCCTATGAAACAGGGAATTAATCATCCTGCGTTCACACTTTTAGCCCGAAATGTGCAGCAGCATACCTTGAGCTTCGTTGCCTTGGAAAACACCTTCCTCTTTCCACCAGCCGTCTGTTGAGCCTCTGGCTTCTCTCAGACGCTTGCCTCTTTTCCTCCTTGGAGCAGAGGAGGACAATCCACCAGCCTCTCATGCAGATGTCCGATGAATCGCAACCATCCTCTGCTACCATATGTTAGTATCTACAGCTCACAGGCAGAGGTACCTGGCCTCCCCCGAGGCAATTGAGCGAGATACTGTGTCTACCGTCCGTCTGCGACCCCGGCAGGCTAGGTAAACAAACCCGGCGATTCTTCTCATTAGTCGTGAGAAGAACACACCCTCTGCTTCTCTCTCCCTCCCTGCATTCTCCCAGGGAGGAGAAATGAGACAGACAGGAGTCCTTTCTACATGTTTTATTCCTGTCACTCAACAGTACATGGAAATGTGACTGCACCCTTCAGTCTCCATTAGAAGAGTCACACTCCTCCCCTGTACTTCCAGTACAGGTCAGATGACACACTGAGCTAACATCCGGTGCTCAGTACAGAGAATAGGCTCCACCCTTTCTCCAACAGTACAGTGAGAAACCACAACATCCTGTTTTGCATTCCAGCCATCTGGAGCTGGCTTTTGCCTTGGTGCTTTTTCCCAACAGGGAGTTCCAAGGGAGGAACTGAAACAACAGGGGACTGTTATGTGTATAACAACTGTTTGTATTCTTCTCTGGATCATGTTTTGCCTATTGATGCTTTTGGGGGAGATTGTTGGGTAAAAGCAGCAATGCAAAAGCCAGCTGCAAGTGGCTGGAATGCAAAACAGGATGTTGTTGTCTCAAACTGTACTGTTGGGAAAAAGGGGGAGTCTATTCTCTGTACTGAGCACCGGATGTTAGCTCAGAGTGTCATCTGACCTGTACTGGAAGTACAGGGGCGGAGCTGAGACTCTTCTGCTGGAGTCTGGAAGGTGCAGTCACGTTTCTATGTACTGCTGAATGACAGGAATAAAACATGTAAATAGGACTCCTGTCTGTCTCATTTCCCCTCCCGGGGGGGGGGAGCTGGGAGAGAGAAGCAGAGGGTGTGTTCTTCTCACGTCTAACGAGGAGAATCGCCGATTTACGACCTAGCCTGCCGGGAGACGCAGACGGAAGGTAAACAAGTATCTCACTCAGTTTGCCCCGGGGGAGGCCAGTTACCTCTGACTGTGAGCTGAGATACTGACACTAATATCAGCTGCATTAGCTACCAATAGATAGTGAAAGGCAAAGCAAACAAAAACAGAAAAAACAGCAACAAAAAACAGAAACAAAAAACCAAGACAAAACCACACAAATTGAAAACCACACAAAAACAATTTGAGGCAGGTGAACAGAATTCTGTATATAGGTTACACAAAGCAATCTATGGGCTCAAACAATCAGCTAGAAATTGGAACGAGCTTCTCAATAATGCTTTAAAAAATCTTGGCATTAAAAGCCTAGCTGATAATTGCTTGTGCACTAAAGGAAAGGGTGATAAACAGGAATTATGTTTGTCTTATGTTGATGATAAGTGTAAAAATTTGCAGAACTAAGAAAAGAGTTTAAAGTAAGAGATTTGGGACCAGTGAAAAATTATCTCGGTCTAGAAATTCAAAGGACAAACAATGGAAGTTTTTTGTTGAGTCAGACGAAAGGCTATATGATTTCTGACATGACTGAGAATCGTAGAGCCAGGGACGAAGAACTTTAAAGCGTTAAAATCAGGATGTGGAAAATATGAAAACGAGGAGAGGCAGGAATTGGAGATATGCTTCAGAGGTCCAGACTATGGGGAGCCCTGAAAAATCAATAATTACAATTTGGATTATAATTTGGTCTTTTTTAATTTTAGTTTTTTTGTTTTATTTGGATTATGATTGTTTTATTTGGATTATGATTGGATATGTGGATCGGATGTTTTTTATTGGAAAATTAATACAAATGATTTGAAAAAAAGAAAAAATTGGGCTCTGCTTCAACATGTTGTACCCCTCCAACCATCTGTAAACTGAACTTCACGATAATAAAAATTTATTTTTAAAATGTATTGCTGATTCATTTTTTAATGTTTTAAAGAGTTGTTTCTACCAATAATTATATTCAGTCTCATTATAAATCACTCAATTTTTTAAAAAATAAATCCTGTCATGTATATGTAGTCAAAATTCAAAAAGAGGTTCCCAGACTGGAGGTTATCCACACAGAAACCCAAAAGAAAAGGAGGAAGTCTCCAGGTGGAAATATAGGCCTTTATTGAAATACAAATGTTCCTGCAAAGAACCACATCCGATAAAATGCTTTTTAAAATAAACTTCCAAATTGCACATTATTCCTTTTTTTATTAAAATACTTTATTAACATATAGAACCCATACATGTACATTTACACAATACCTTCTTTTCATAACATAAAGCATGCCTACATTATATTATACCTACCTATACTATACATAGCAACACACCTAACCGCACACGAATACCCTCAAAGTGACTTGACTTCCAGCCGTTCTTGTTACACTACTTTATTTTTCCAATTGGCTTAAACACATTTCATTATTTCTTTAATCTCTTCTTCTATCTTAACTTTACTCTCCTTTCACTCTAATCATGTTCTGGATTCACTCAATATCTGTCAAAAGTTCTACTTTTTCCACATAGCTTTTGATGTATTCCTTAAAGATAGCCCACTCCTTATTCACTTTGCACTCCCACCACATGTGTAGAAAGGTTCCCGCCCCGTTGTTGTATCTCCAACAAACATCACTACAGTTTGTATACATTTTTGCCAGTCTAACCGGGGTCAGGTACCATCTGTATTGCATTTTCATTACATTCTCTCTTAAATTATAGCATGCCGTAAATTTAATATCCCTGTCTCACAGTAGTTGGCTCATCATATTTCCACCTAAATCCTGGGCCTACTTTACCATCGCTGTCTTCACTTGCTCCTCCTTTATCTCCCATTCTAGGAGCAAATCATATAGTTTGGAAATATGTTTACTTTTACATTGGAGTAAGTACTCATCCAATCTTGAAATTTCTTTCTCAAATCCTTTTTCTTTCTCTTTTGCCATCTCTGATTTGAAAGAACTGCAGCCACTTGTTCAAATATTTCTTAACTTCCTTATATCCTTTCAATTTAAGTTTATTATTTTCCTCTTCCAGTAATCCTTATATGTTGCCCAGTTGTTATTCATATTCTTTCTCTTTAGTCATGATTTCTAAGGTGAGGTCCACCAAGGTGTTTTGGGTTCTAGAATCCCTTTATATTTCATCCATATTTTATACAATGATTTCCTTATAAAACCCATGTGGACTCTCTTCTTTTCATCTATTAAGTATGCATACCATCCAAATCGAGTGCCTACGTCCTCCAGATCTAACACATCAGTGTCTTTTAACTCCCTTAAGCAGGTCAGAACTGCTGCAGCATGATATAATTCCAGGTCAGGTAGCTAAAATCCACCTCTCTCCGATCAGTAAGTTATATTTTTTCTAGGTTTTTTTTTTTTTGATGGAATGGCAAATTGCACATCATTCCTATTTACCAATCAAAGGATCGCAGCAATCTTAATAGTTTCAACCCAATGTCATCATCCTGAACTAACCAAAATCATTTGCTTTATTATTTTTATTTTTTGGAGAAGGGGGGGCACCCAGGGGAGAGATGGGGGAGCCTACCTTTCTATGTTTTGACAAATGATATGATATATATGATACAAATGTGATAAAGGGTATTTTTAGTTATTCTCTTGCCCTTTCTCTTTTCTATACAAATGTGTTTTGTAAGGGTTGTTCAATAATGTTTGCCTTATTATTTTTCTTTTTTAGTTTTCCCTCTGTATGAATTCTTTGATGGGAAGTGAGAACATCCTTCCGAATGAAGCTCTTTCCACATTCCAAGCACTGATAGGGTTTCTCCCCTGTATGAATTCTTTGATGTGTCTTGAGATGGGTGCTTCGACTGAAGTTTTTCCCACATTCACAGCACTGATATGGTTTCTGACCTGTATGAGTTCTTTGATGGGTCATGAGATAGGAACTGTGACGAAAGCTCTTTCCACACTCATGGCATTGAAAAGGTTTCTCCCCTGTATGAATTATTTGATGGGAAGTGATCTTGGCCTCCTCCCAGAAGCTCTTTCCACATTCCAAACACTGATATGGTTTCTCCCTTTAAGAATTCTTTGGTGCAAAGTGAGAGTGGAACTGTGACGAAAGCTCTTTCCACATTCCAAGCACTGATAGGGTTTACTTCCTGTATGAATTCTTTGGTGCAAAGTGAGATTGGAACTTTGACTGAAGCTCTTCTCACATTTTAAGCACTGATATGGTTTCTCCCCTGTATGAATTCTCTGATGGGAAGTGAGATGTATCCCCTGGCTGAAGCTCTTTCCACATTCAAAGCACTGATATGGTTTCTCCCCCGTATGAAGTTTTTGATGCAAACTAAGACTCTGCATGTACCTGAAGCTCTTTCCACATTCCAGGCATGGATATGGTTTATCCCCTGTATGAATTCTTTGATGGGAAGTAAGCTGCCACCTCTTACGGAAGCTTTTTCCACATTCCAAGCACTGATATGGTTTCTCGCCTGTATGGACTCTCTGATGGGAAGTGAGACCGGAACTGTGACGAAAGCTCTTTCCACATTGCAAGCACTCATAGGGTTTCCTTCCTGTATGAATTCTTTGGTGCAAAGTGAGACTGTGCCTGAGACTGAAGCTCTTCTCACATTTTAAGCACTGATATGGTTTCTCCCCTGTATGAATTCTTTGATGGGAAGTGAGACTGGAACTTTGACTGAAGCTCTTTCCACATTCAAAGCACTGATATGGTTTCTCCCCCGTATGAAGTTTTTGATGCAAACTAAGACCCTGCATGTACCTGAAGCTCTTTCCACATTCCAGGCATGGATATGGTTTCTCCCCTGTATGAATTCTTTGATGGGAAGTAAGCTGCCACCTATCACGGAAGCTTTTTCCACATTCCAAGCATTGATATGGTTTGTCGCCTGTATGGACTCTTTGATGGGAAGTGAGATGACCTCTCTGACGAAAGCTCTTTCCACATTCCAAGCACTGATACGGTTTCTCCCCTGTATGAATTCTGTTATGGGAAGTGAGTTTCACCCTCTGACTGAAGCTCTTTCCACATTCCAAGCACTGATATGGTTTCTCCCCTGTATGGACTCTTTGATGGGAAGTGAGACTGGAACTGTGACGAAAGCTCTTTCCACACTCAAGGCATTGAAAGGGTTTCTCCCCTGTATGAATTCTTTGATGGGAAGTGAGTTGCACCCTCTGACTGAAGCTCTTTCCACATTCCAAGCACTGATAGGGTTTCTCCCCTGTATGGACTCTTTGATGGCAAGTGAGATTCTGACGGTGACTGAAGCTCTTCCCACATTCTCTGCACTGATACAATTTCTCTCCGCTGTTAGTTCTTTCATGTGAAGAGATTCTATCCCTCCGAACAAAGCTCTTTCCTTGATGTGAGGTGGACTGGGGGCTCTGGCAGATGTTCTCTCCGCACTTTGTATATTTATCTGACTTCTCTGCTATGTGAATTCTGTTGTGGTCCCCCTTGTTCTTCCCTTCCAATTCATCACCATCTGCAATGAAGAGAGAAGCTAATTAGAGCCTCAGGAAGAACAAAGTTAATGAATGCTTGTGATAGAGGAGTAACTGAAGAGAGTTAGACGTGAGCCCTTACTATAGTTTTCACTGTTGGCTGGTATTAACTGACATATTGCTTGGTTTTTATCTGGGATAAATTTTGTTTGGCTCAATCTTGGAATCCACTCCATCTCCAATTTCCCTTAAAGCTCTGAGGCTGACATTTAAGAAGGCCTGGCCAGTTCAGACAACCTGGTCATTGCTTTAAAAGGCATGACTAGATGAAACAAATTTGCAGAGAAAACAGTGTTGGTCTCCATCCAAATAGTGGAGGTTCATCACATAGAGGTATGTATTGCTCCTCGAGAACACAGATATCTTGGACTTGGAAGGTTTTAATAATGTATTTGGATGGCATGCATATTTATGGTATGATAAGGTTAAAGCGCACAAAGCTTTTAAAAATCACATTGTTAGGAAAGCATTATACAATGTCTGGATCAGATATAAAGACTTGTTGGAAAATAAAACCCCAAGGTGGATGTCGCCAATGGAGGCTAAAGCTGTGAAAAAACTCAATATGGAGGCCAAATGGCCAAAATATTGGGAAATTTTGGAACAAGAGGGTGATAAACTGAAACTACAGAGTTATGAGAAACTGAAGGCTAAAGTTCGAGACTGGCTCCACTATTATCAAATAATGGAGGTTTATAAACAAGACAGGAAAATTGGCTTCCAGGTGGAGAAATCAAAACTAGAAACAGAATTGTTAGAACCCAATGCTAAGAATTTGTCAAGAATGTACAACTTGTTGCTGAAATGGAATACACAGGATGAAACAGTTAAATCAGCTATGATTAAGTGGGCACAGGACATTGGTCATAACATTATGTTTGCTGACTGGGAACAGTTGTGGACCACCGGTATAAAATTTACGGCATGTAATGCCTTAAAGGAAAATATTATGAAAATGATCTATAGGTGGTACATGACCCCAGTCAAGCTAGCAAAAATCTACCACTTGCCTGATAATAAGTGTTGGAAATGTAAAGAAACTGAAGGTACGTTCTATCACCTTTGGTGGACGTGCCCGAAGATTAAGGCTTTCTGGGAAATGATATATAATGAAATGAAAAAGGTACTTAAATGTACTTTCCCTAAGAAACCAGAGGCCTTTCTCTTGGGCATTGTCGGCCAATGGGTGCCAAAGAAAGACAGAACTTTTTTTATGTATGCTACCACAGCAGCAAGAATACTCATCGCAAAGTATTGGAAGACACAAGATCTACCCACTCTGGAAGAATGGCAGATGAAGGTGATTGACTACATGGGACTGGCTGAAATGACTGGCAGAATCCGTGACCAGGGGAAAGAGACGGCGGATGAAGACTGGAAGAAATTTAAAATTTATCTTAAGAAATATTGTAAAATTAATGAATGCTAAAATGTCGAGGATTTAGAAAAAAAGGGGGATTACAGCTGTAAAAGATTAAGTAAAAGATAAGAATAAGGGGAAAAATTGATAAAACCAAGGGTTAGGATTTGCTGAAACAAATTTGGAAATTGGGATGTAGAAAGAGGAGGTATGGGGAAGTCGGTGAAGTAAGGTTTAAGAAAAAAGGATATGAAACTATATATGTTTGTTTGTGTGGTTTTTTTGTTTGTGTTGTGTATTGTTTGTGTTTATAAAAATTGTGAAAAGCCAATAAAAATTTTATATATAAAAAAAAGGAATTTCAAAACCCAAGTTACTTGCTTAATTTCAAAACAGGTATTATGATCCCACAAGAAGCGTTACCAAGAGGGTCCATGACCCCACAAGTCTCCTCCTTGACTTCCTTATGCAGAGCTCTCTGGACAAGATCCAGCAAATTGTTTGTGAAACATCTTCACCTGCACACTCCCCACCAGCAGTTATCTCAATCTGGTTGGTCTAAATTTAAATTTATACCTAAATCACTTTCTTCTGTTTGAACCTCCCTCCCATGTTCAAGAGTAGACCAACTCTGTATTGTTTCATTGGTAACAGTAGAGGAAAAGTGACTATAACTCACACTTAATCTAAACACAACGGCCACAAGAGCTCCTGACTAGGCATTCAGCTATGCAATGTTGAATGTTCTCTGTTCTCTCCTGTTCCCCATTTTTTCTTTCAATTTAAACAAATTCATGAACCCAGAACTCATACACTGACCACTAATGGTGAACCATATGTTATAGATACTTCGTCTACATATTTGTATATTAGTCCTATGATCCTTGTTTTTAAAAATAAATAAAAAGTTATTCCAAAAAGAAAAGAAAAAGGCAAGACACGGAGGCCTCATCTGCGGTCAATTTGCAAAGCAGGCTCAGGTTACTTTCAAGAGTCATGACTTCTAGTGCTGCCTGAAGGATCGGTAAGTTGTCTGACATTGGTAGAGCATTCAATCACGGTGCTGGTTTTAGACATTTTGAGCTGCCAATACATTGCGGTGGTCGGGGAGCTGTGATGTATTCCTAGCTCAAATTGCCTGCAGATGACAAAGGCGCAGGCAGGCAGGCAGGCAGGCAGAGGAGCCCGAAATGGTGCCCCCCTGAGGAAGCCCCAATATCTCTCCGGCTCCATCCATCCATGTCCCCCTCCCCCCTCCCCTGGAACTCACCAGATCTCTCAGAGGTCCCTGGGAGGGAACGCTCAGAGGTTGTGCGAAGGGATGCAGGAGACAACCTGACCAGGTCAACCGTCCATCTTCCCCCTTCCATCCTTACGAGCTTTGCAGGATCCGTCTCTTTCATCCTTCCTGAGGAGTCAAGAAGCAAAAACAAGCTGCAGGGTTCTGGGAGAGAGGAAGAAGCAAAGGGGGCCTCAGAGGCCCTGCAGGGATTCTCTTGCCCTAGATATTCTCCTGCTCCTGGAGAAGCACAAATGGGGTAGCTCCTTCCCAAGAGAAGCCCCATTTCTAAAGATCTCCAGTGATTCCAATTTCTTCTGTATGCTCCTCACCCCACTTGTAAGCCTGGCATGGTCTGCACAGTAGTGACCTGGGAGTAGATCCCATTGAACTCAGTGGGGATAACTGACAGAAGTTGGTACAAAAAACCAGTCACCGTCCTGTCCCCAAGGCTGAAAACCGTAACCCCAGAGCATGGGCAGAAAAGAGCAGAGTAGATATTATATGTAGGTGCCCCCATGCTAGGTGCTTTGTATGGAGAGCCCTGTTCACAATCTTTGAGCTCTCTCATCGCAAGCCAGGCAGATGTTGTGGCCGTATCTGCCTCTGTAAGGAGTTGCATGGGGATCCAATCTGTATGTGGAAGCAGAGGAGCTGGTGATGCCACATTTTTGAAATATCATGAGACTAATACACCCCCTCCTCCTTAGATATTGTCTGTGCTTATACACCATCTTCGCAAGTCTTCAGTCTTGAAATGTGGCCCCACCCTGGCATGGAGGCCTTCAAAGTATAGATCTTCCACATGTCCTAAATCTGCAGTGTTCTTAAGAACACCAGGCATGTATATCCTCCAAAAACTCCAGAGCTAAGCTTTATGCTCCTCTTGTGACAAGATTCCCAAAGGCTTAGGGTAGCTTGATAGAACTAGTATACTTTGAGAAAGCACCAATTTCCAATTCTTGTTTATCAAAACCCACAGACACTCTGCTAGATTTTTTTTGTAAAGGTTTTACAAGGACCTATCAGGACACAGGTGGCGCTGTGGTCTAAACCAATGAGCCTAGGGCTTACCAATCAAAAGGTTAGCGGTTTGAATCCCCATGACGGGGTGAGCTCCCATTGCTCGTTCCCAGCTCCTGCCAACCTAGCAGTTCAAAAGCACGTCAAAGTACTAGTAGATAAATAGGTACTGCTCCGGCGGGAAGGGCTGGGCTGGGCTCAGGGCGGCTAACACCAATAATATCACAGTAAAAACATAATGTGGGGGGGACCCAATTTAAATTACAGGTTAAAATGCAATTTAAAATGCAGCCTTGTTTTAAAAGTAGCCGATAAATCAAGACCATAAGGGGAGGGAAACATAAGGGTCAGACTGAGTCCAAACCTAAGGCCAAGCGGAACAGCTCTGTCTTGCAGTCCCTGCGGAAAGATGTCAAGTCCCGCAGGGCCCTAGTCGCTTGTGACAGAGCATTCCACCAAGTCGGGGCCAGTACTAAAAAGGCCCTAGTTGAGACCAATCTAACCACCCTGCGACCTGGGACCTTCAAAATGTTGTCATTTGTGGACCTTAAGGGAGCCAGTGTGGTGTAGTGGTTAAGAGCAGTAGATTCGTATCTGGAGAACCGGGTTCGTGTCTCCACTTCCTCCACATGCAGCTGCTGGGTGACCTCCGGCTAGTCACACTTTTCTGAAGTCTCTCAGCCTCACTCACCTCACAGAGTGTTTGTTGTGGGGGAGGAAGGGAAAGGAGAATGTTAGCCGCTTTGAGACTCCTTCGGGTAGTGATAAAGCGGGATATCAAATCCAAACTCTTCTTCTTCTGCGGGGCATACCAAGAGAGGCAGTCCCGTAGGTACATGGGTCCTAGGCCGCATAGGGCTTTAAAGGTCAAAACCAGCACCTTAAACCTGACCCTGTACTCCACCGGGAGCCAGTGAAGTTTGGTAAAGCACTGGATGAATGTGATCCCGTGGCAAGGAACCCCGTAAGCACACTAACCAGTGTAGCTAACTGATACTGATAAAACAGATGTATAGAACTTATAAGCTTATCCACAGGTGTGGAAATAACAAATAATTAAGGACAATGTAAGAAAATTGAAAGGTACAGAGTATCAAATCTGGCATCACAGCGCAAGCTGAACCATAAAGTTACAGACTTTAAATAAAACAGTTGAAATCTAGCTCTGAATTCAAACCCCCTGGATGTGTGGATTTGAATAAATAAATCAACCTAGTTTCTTGTTGGTCGCAATAACCCTCCTCGTAATCTTTCCTGATCCCACGTTTTCTCTGGTTGACCCATAGAACCGTGTATAAATCTGTGTCTGAATGAAGGTATTTGATTAAGTGTTCAACTAGGGGTGCCTCTATTACTGCATTTCTTATACAGGATCGATGTTCACCTATACAAACACCTACCGCTTGTGTGGTGGATCCAATGTACAATAAGTTGCAAGGACATATAATTAAATAAGATCCCATGACATGAGTATTAGACAATGTTGGTGTAAGTAACTGAGCTCTGATCCACAAGTATTACATTTACCTATATGGCTATTCTATCTAAAATTATTTGGTATGTATTCCTCATTTATTATTTATTCATTATTTAATTAATTTGTAGGTTGCTCAGTATTATTTTTGTTGTCATTCTTTCTATGTAATGTATTCAATTTCATCATCAGCTGACGAAGCTATACTGTGTTGGACATCATCCATTGAAAGGCGTCGTGGTGTTCCCCACCAGCAATCCATTACATTGACTACTTCTTGGTTATGGACTGATATATATATATATTGAAGTTAATGATTTTAATATAATTATCTTGAAATATTAGGAGGGTTGTTGTTGTTTATGCTGTTAACGATACTCCAATATATTTCACTTTATTCTTTATCACCAATCCACTCACTCTCTGTAATTCATTTTTTGACTGTGCATCCATGCTTTTCACTAACACCTTAGGTTCCCCTCTACTTATTTTAAAACCTGCAGCATTTCCAAGCAGCCCTATTGCTTCTAATACACTACTAAGAGGTTCCCCTAAAGATAATACCACATCATCTGCAGAGGACTTCAGTCTGTCATTTTGTTGCCCCACCCTCACCTCCTTTTATATCTGGAGTTTTCCTTATTCTTCTTGATAATACATAAATAAATGTCCCCTTCTGTATCTTACATTTTTCTAAGAGAGTATTGGTCACAATCATGCTAGCCATGTATAGATTATTTCCCTTTAGAAAAGTCTCTCCAATCCCTGGCTCCTGCGGGAGGGAGTTCCAGTTTTACCTACACACTGTGGAAGTTATAAGTTTAATGTAAATAAAGCATTCTGCAATGGAGACAAGACTGGGGTTCCTCCTTTGGGAAGGGATGGGCGACCTGGGGACTCCAAAGGCTATGGGCTAGTTTTTTAATAGCAGCAGCAGCTGCAGAGAAACTCCAGGATGGGGAACATCCTTGAAAGCTCACTCTGGGATCAGAGAGAGAAAATTTGGCAGACCTGCCACCCAGAGCCCCCTCCTTCTCCTCCCTGCATCGCCTCACCCCTTCAGGACAAGATCTTGGGGTCCTTCAGGCGCCTTTCCACCCTCTCCTCTCAAGGAAGGCAGCTCCCTTCCCTTGAACCCTGGCAAGCCCAGTGCAGCCAGCTCAGCCCTCTGGCTCTCCCCTTTTCTCCACGGAGGGGCCCCAGGCGTGGCCCCTGCCCAGAGAGGCTTCCCTTGAGGCTCTGGGCTGGAGACCTGAGCTGACCTGGAGGAGGATCTGCCCGGGGGAAAGGCCGGCCTGGCAGGGGCTCCTCCACTGGAAGGGGGGGCATTCTGGGCATGCCCTCCCCCCGGACCCCTCCCTCCTTCCCCAAAGAGCAGAGCTGCAGACCCCCTGGAAACTCGCCCCCTCCCAGGCTTGGCAGAGAGGAATGGGGGGGCAGGACCCTCTGCTCCCAGACTTGGGGGTCTCCCCCTGCAGGCCCGGGACCCCCTTCTCCCATGGGCACCCCAAGGGGGGAGAGAGAGGAGACTCACCGGATTCTTCCCAGGAGGGAAACCGAGGCAGCGCGGGGAGGAGACAAGAGACAAAAGACGGGACTGGGCACGGAGGGAGGGGATTCTGCTCTGGAGGACCCGCCCCGCCTCTCCACTTCCTGTCCTCTCTAGGACTCCGGCTCTGGTCGACTTAACCCTTTGGAAGCTGAGCACAGCCCCCGGGCTGGCTGGCTGTCCTCCTTCCCTCCCAGAATCCGGGGGTCCGGGGCATGTGCAGAGTTCTCTGTGATTCTCGGCTCAGAGTCCCTCAAGACAGCAGCTTAGTGCCCTGCGCCCAGGTGGGTGGGGGGTAAATAAAATAATAATAATAATACTTCACCTGCTCACTAGCGGACTGAAAGTCTGTTGCAATACTAGGAGGGTACCTGAGAGAGACACGGGTCCCTTGGGAGCAAAAGCCTCCGCTGGTAAAGCAGGAGACTCTCGATTTCGGGGTCCTGGGTTCAAGCCCCACTTTAGGCATCGCAAAGGGTTGGACTGGATGACCCTCGACCCCTCTGTGAATCTGTGAAATGCAAATCAATCAATCAGTACACTCCCCAGTTGGAGAACTCGCTCCAGACTCAGAAAGGGACCTTCAGCGGGGACAAAGGTCGGGTTCTGCATTCAGGCAGGAAGACTCAGAGGCACAAAGGTCAGATGGGGCGCCCCCCCCGGCTGCTCTCCCTCCCGCCCCCGCCCCAAATTCTGGAGGAGGCAGCTTGTTTCCCGCTGTTTCCGATTCAACTTCAGAATCTTAGAATTCAGAGAATCGTAGAATTTTGGAGCTGGGAGGGACCCCTGAGGGTCATCTAGTCCAGGCGGGGGAAGGTGGGGCGGCATGGCCAGGATCCGGGAGGGCGCGGGGAGGAGGGGAAGGTGGCCCGGGATAGTCCTGAAGAAGGCCCAGTGCTGCCCCTGGGGAGGGAGTGCCGCTGCCCCCCCCCCGTGGGCCTCTTCGCTTGGGGGGCGCCTGGCCCCCTTGGGCTCTGCTTTGTCCCCGCGATGCCCAAGGGGATCCTCCATGGACAGAGCCAGTCTACCTTGGAACGGGGGAGAAGGAGAAGGGGAGGATGCTCTTCCGCTCCTGCTTGCGGAGTTCCCTGGGGGGGGGGCGCCTGGTCGGCTGCTGCCAGGAGGCTGGGCTAGGTGGGAGGGGTCCCCTTGGTCCGGACCCAGATTCTGCTGCTGCTGCTGCTTTGGGGCTCTCCTGAGGCCCTTCCGCTCCTAGAATCACACCCAGGGGCCATCTAGTCCACCCCCTTTTTCTCCTCCTCCTCCCAGGAGCACCATTTGCCTCCGGTGGCCAAGCTGGGCTGCTGGTTCCTGGAGGAGGCTGGGGGCAGAGGCTCAGTCATGCCCAGTGCCCTCAAGCAGCGCCTCACCATTTTGTTCCTGCCCCCACCCAGGAGACGCCTGGTAGAATCTGCCCTGGAAACCAAGTTGCCCCCGGAGGTCGAGGCCGGCCTGGTCTTCCAGGTCCTGGGTCTGGAGACCCCCAATATAAGACCGCCACCCTAACATAAAGACCAGGCCCTTTGCGAAGCCCAGCCTGCCCCCTTCCCATCCCTGCTTCTCATTCACCTTGAAGCACCTCTAAATTCAGCCTCACTGTGATATACCCATTTCACAGGCGCCACAACTGAGGCTGGGAAACTGCACCCATTTCACTGTGAGGCTGATGCGGCATTTCCCAACCTAGGCATGAGTCAATTATAATGCCCACACACACACACACACACACACACCCTTGATTTGTCTCCTTTCCAGCACTCCTGCGTTAAGAAGTAAAATTAAATTAAATGATTCTCTGGATCTTCAGTGTCAGCAAACACTCCTTCCCCAATCTCTGCTTTTAAACCACCAGTGTCAGAATTGCTTTCTTTGGAGGTTTTCCAAACAGAGGCTGCAAGGCCAAATGTCAGGGATTCTTTATTGCAGGGGGTGGGACTAGATCAGTGTTTTTCAACCTTTTTTGGGCAAAGGCACACTTGTTTCATGAAAAAAATCACGAGGCACACCACCATTAGAAAATGTTAAAAAATTTAACTCTGTGCCTATATTGACTATATACATAGTAATTCTCTTGAATAGGAATCAAATAAACACAAATAAAGTATTTTATAATTACTTTATTATGAAATAGTAAGTAAACAGAAATATGAAAAGTTATAAAATACTTTATTCAGTGTGCAACCTGGGCCTGTTTGGCTGAACACAAAGCTGATATTCTGGCTGGAATCAAACGTTGCAGACCGTTCTCTGCTCAGCGGGGATCGATCCGCAGGGCCCCGCTGCTCTCTATGGGGAATCGGATGAGAGCGGACCGCCTGTCCGCTCTCATCCGATCCCATCCAATCTGATCCCCACCCAGGACAGATGGAAAATAGGGTGGACACAGTCTCCAAGTAGAAAGATAAGCCTTTATTGAAATAAAAATGTGTTTGCAAAGAACCACATCCCTCATTCCTTTTTTTAATTAAAATATTTTATTAACATATAAAACGCATACATGTACACAGTACATAAAGTGGTACCTCAGGTTACATACGCTTCAGGTTACATACGTTTCAGGTTACAGACTCCGCTAACCCAGAAATAGTACCTCAGGTTAAGAACTTTCCTTCAGGATGAGAACAGAAATCGTGTTCTGGCGGCACGGCGGCAGCAGGAGGCCCCATTAGCTAAAGTGGTGCTTCAGGTTAAGAACAGTTTCAGGTTCAGAACGGACCTCCGAAACGAATTAAGTACTTAACCCGAGGTACCACTCTGTAAACAATACCTTATTTCCTAACATAAAGCATACCTAACATTACTCTATATTATACTTACCTATACTATACATACAAACACACCTACCCCACATGAACAGCCACAAGATGACTTGAGCCAGTGTGGTGTAGTGGTTAAGAGCGGTAGACTCGTAATCTGGGGTACCGGATTCGCTTCCCCGCTCCTCCACCTCACTGTTTGTTGTGGGGGAGGAAGGGAAAGGAGAATGTTAGCCGCTTTGAGACTCCTTCGGGTAGTGATAAAGCGGGATATCAAATCCAAACTCTTCTTCTTCCAGCCATTCTTGTTACGCTACTTTATTTTTCCAATTGACTTAAACGCATTTCATTATTTCTTTAATCTCTTCTATCTTAACTTTACTCTCCTTTCACTCTAATCATGTTCTGAATTCTCTGTCTTCACTTGCTCCTCTTTTACCTCACATTCTAGGAGCAAATCATATAGTTTGGAAATATGTTTACTTTTAGATTAGATTAAGTACTCATCCAATATTGAAATTTCTTTCTCAAATCCCTTTTATCTTTTGCCAATCTCTGATTAATTTAAAGAACTGCAGCCAATTGTTCAAGTATCTCCTAACTTCCTTATATTTTTTCAATTTAAGTTTATTATTTTCCTTTTCCAATAATCCTTATATGCTGCCCAGTTGTTATTCATATTCTTTCTCTTTACGGTCATGATTTCTAAGGTGAGGTCCACGAAGGTGTTTTTGTGAGAATCAGAACTTACAGGGTCAAACAGCTCTAGGTATCGTCCTGCCTACTGAGAGGTGTGGCTTAGTCATGCTGGCCACATGACCCGGAAGCTGTACACCGGCTCCCTCAGCCAATAAAGCGAGATAATCGCTGCAACCCCAGAGTCGGCTGGGACTGGAACTAATGGTCAAGGGTCCCTTTATCTTTACCTAAAGCTTCTTTAGATTAGGAAGAAGCCGGTGTATGGACCTGTTATTTATTGCACCTACACAAGGCACACCACTGCTGCAATACTCTGCTTGAAACTGGGAAGGAGGAGAAGGAGAAGAAGGAGAAGGAGAAGGAGGAGAAGGAGAAGGAGAAGAAGAAGAAGAAGAAGAAGAAGAAGAAGAAGAAGAAGAAGAAGAAGAAGAAGAGTTTGGATTTTATATCCCGCCTTTCACTCCCCTTCAGGAGTCTCAAAGCGGCTAACATTCTCCTTTCCCTTCCTCCCCCACAACAAACACTCTGTGAGGTGAGTGGGGCTGAGAGACTTCAGAGAAGTGTGACTAGCCCAAGGTCACCCAGCAGCTGCATGTGGAGGAGCGGAGATGCGAACCCGGTTCACCAGATTACGTGTCTACCGCTCTTAACCACTACACCACACTGGCTCAAGTCCACTGGCACAGGGAAGTGTGAAGGATGGCCAGAAATCATAGTAGGCTGTGCAAGAAACCTGCTTAAATCCAACAGTTTTGGGTTCTAGGATCCCTTTATAATATGGTCCAGAAAACCCTTGTGGACTCTCTCCTTTCCATGTATTAGGTATGCATACCATCCAAATCGAGTGCCTACACCCTCCAGATCTAACACATCTGTGTCCTTTAACTTAATCCACTCCTTTAAGCAGGTCAGAGCTGCTGCAGCATGATATAGTTCCAGGTCACTTAGGTCAAATCCTCCTCTCTTTCTCCAATCAATAAGTTATTTATATTTTATTCTAGGTTTTTTTTTGGATGGAATGGCAAATTGCACATCATTCCTATTCACCAATCAAAGGATCGCAGCAATCTTAATAGTTGCAACCCAATGTCATCATCCTGAAACTAACCAAAATAATTTGGCTCTTCAGATAAGCCCTGGTCATAATATCATATGTCCTCCATGTTCTGCTCTTTTTCTCCATTTTGTCTTCCTATATGTTAGGAGAAGTGACAGCTCAGTTGCGGTTACTTGGGACTAACTCCCTTATGGGACAGTTCATATAGTTAGACACTTTTGTAACCCAAGTCTGCCTTCAGGGATGCATCTGTGAACTGAATGAGTAAACCACTTTTATATTGACTTTAACAAGATTGTGTCGTATCTTTTTATGAGGGAGTAGAAGGGATCTTACCAGAAATCCTATATTCAAAGAGGCTTAACAAGCCTGCAACAAGCTAACCACCGTGCTAATTTAAAAAGTTTGAAACTTGGGCCAAAGTGTTGCCACAGGAACTAGGGAGCTAAAGATGCTTTTCTGGCAGTGGGAGAAAATGTCACACATAAAATCCTGAGAGGAGAAACCGGAAAACACTGGGAAACACTGGTTCCTTCCAGAAGGTTTTGTTCTT